CGCGTTTTTCCTCCGGCTCGTCATCGTCTGGGAAACGGCTGCCATAGAAAAGCAAGTAGCGCACGCGCACCAACTCAGGCTTGCGTATCTCGATTAGCGAGTTCAGGGCGTTGGTGAACACATAATCCGGATGGCTGTCGAATTCGCAAAGCGCCACGCACGAAATCATCGAACCACAGCTGGATGCACCCCAACCGGCACCGTTTGGACTCTCCTGCAGTGCGACGTTCAAGTCTGTGGTCAATTTTAAGGGCGCATCTACATCGTCGCCAGCATTCTCCGTGTTTGGCGGTTGCTGTTTGCATGCATCAGCTTGAGTCAACATTGCAAAGAAGCTATCGAGGCGGTTGCCATGAAATGCTAACTTCGGTGGTTCCTCAATTTCGACGCTCGTTGGCTCCTCATGTATGGCTTCGTGTATCAGCGGCATGTTGCAGACCCTGAACACGTGCGTAGGCCTTGGTAGCTGTTCACTCTGGCACATGCTGCTGAAAATCACATCGAACTCATTTTCATCCACCAGATTCAACATTGGTTCGCGTTGCACAATCAGCACATGATGCAACAGATCCAGTACGTCCGCATCGAATTCCTCGTAATTTTGCTCGACAATATTCTGTAGTACAACACGCAGTTTGGGTGTATCGTTGATGACCGAGATGAGCGCATCGATATCCAGCCCGGCATGCTCGGAGACGAAGCGCGGTGGAAAGGGCTTCAGCTGCGTGTCGTAGCGGTAACTTTGCGCTGCTGCCACGAAGAGCGTCCACTTGGCGTCACAGGCAACAAGATCGGTTTCCAACAGGAATCGCAAGGCGTTTATCTTTGTCAGCATATCTGATGCCATTTGATAGTCGCCATTGCGCGTACCATACGCGTCGTAATGTCCGGACGAGGTGCCATCGCACTCAGATGAAGTTTGCGAAGTCATCTGGGCCGATGCCGGATTGCTGTGGGTTTTTCCTCCGATGCGCTTCGTTTTGGCGTTTGTTTTTGATACTTGAATGGTGTAAAAAATAAATCAATTATAGTTTGTGTTTTTATCCACAGAGCACTTAAATTTTATTTATTTTATTCAGTTTAGAGATATCTGCCAAAAATTCCTGAGGCAAACGGAGAAAAGCTAATATTTTGAACACTGAAAGTCTTGCGTTGAGGCGATTTGTATTTGATTTGTGGTCTTCAATTTATTTCCAGTTGTTTTTGAAAAATCTTTACAAAATACTTTGAGTGAAATATTGGGAAGAGAGAAATGACAATTAAAAATAACGGTAGTTGCTTGATTTTTCCTTTAGAGACAAGTGTAAATAAAACTACCAAGGAGCTAATGGATGACAGACTTTAAAATGAGAAATATTAAGTAGTATCCTTGAGTGGTTTTTAGGTAGGATTTAATTTTTTGTAGTTTAAAAAAATAAAAAATAACAAATAACTAACCACAATTAGGCTTAAGGGGTCAGAGGCGATTTTTGACTACAACAATGCTTTGCTGGTGATTTTCTTATTCAGAAGGGAATGAAACAGAGTAGCCTTCAACAAGGCTTTAACGTTCTGTGATGGCCTTCGGTGGAGAGCTAATTACCTACCAAGGCACATACATAGGTACATGTGTATGTAGCACATTAATGCCTTGCAAAAATACTTTGGACTTTTTTTCTGGTATGGTCTTCTGTATATACATACACTGAAGAGCAAAACTGGAACAATAGAACGGAAAGTTAAGGTTGTGGCAATGTACTTCTTCAGTTTATTTACTTTATGGTAATTCAAAGTTGCATTTCGCCTTACCGAGGTTTAACTAAACGTTTGACCATAAAAATTTTAAAATTCGCATATGGAAACTCAGAACAAAATGACCAAACAAAAATGAACTGGATTGTGCCAGTTTTGCACCCACTTAGTATTTGCTGAATTTTATAATTCAAAGAGGAGTTCTGGCTCATTTCCTGTAATTTTGTAATCAAGGCGCTTGGGATTTTCGATGTGAGTGCTTTAAGTGCACAACCCAAGCAAAAAGAATTTAAAGTTTTTGGCAAAACGGTCAGAAAGCCACGCTATGAAGAAAGAAATCATATCGGCCAAATGTCCGTTTTATGGTTATCTAAACAAGCGATAAAAGGGCGGACCTCAGTCTTCAAGATCAAGAGACCACAAAAAATTGCAATTTGCTATGCTTTGCATATTGGAGGGTCTCTGAATACCAAAAAACTTTGATTCAAAATCAAATCGTTTTTTGTCAGAAACGCATTTTTACTAAGAAAAAACATTGGATTGGTATTATTTTGAAGCGGGAATTTACAAGTTCTTCATAAACGACCACATGATTCCAACAAAATTTACTATTAATTAGGGCACGGCCCTAAATTTTTTAACTCTGAGGATAAAATTAAACGTTTTAAGTCGGAATATTGGTTAAAGTGCATAAAAGCTAAAATATTCAAATTGGTTATGGCCAATTTATTCAAAGTCAAGCAAATGGTAAAATTTTCTGTCGGCTGCAAAACTGGAACAATCTAGTTGCTACGTTTTTTTTTCCAATTTTCTTCTTTATCTGCTTGTATTGATTATTGTTTTTAAGACCTTCTGATGAAATAAACATTGGAAATGTGAATTCCGAAACTAGATTACAAAAAAGTCTTCATATATTGCGAATATATTGCAAGAAAATTCACATTATGTATTACTGTTCCGGTTTAGCTCCTCAGTGTACATACATATGTATTTTTGTGCTATGCGCATATTTTCAACGTTTAAACGGATTTAATTTCCGCGCGTTTTGCCTATTCTCTCCTATCGCTTTTGATGATGAATGTACGTAAGTATTTATATATGTATGTATGTATGTGCATATGTACATCTAAATTTGTTGTATGCAAACTTTTTTTTCGTTTTTGTTGGTAACTGTTGTCAACTTTAACGGGGCGTTGAGCAGCTTCCGTTGCTGCTTATTCGACGACGCTAATCCAGAATAGCAGCAGCTGATAAATGCAGTGGTAAGATGGCGGTGTGCGGAGCAGTTGTGGAGGTTTAATGCCTACCTATGTATGTGTGTATGCATTTTAACACTTCATTTGAAATACTCACGTTCAAGAACACATTTTTACTAGCTTACATATATACATACTAAGGCTCAATACCCAACATATTCTCCATTTATTTTCCGTCAGTCATTTTAGTCTTCAACACCTCATCATTTTTTTTTCCAAACACCTTTCTCGCCGTTCTTATCACAGATTTGAGTACTCTATTTTTCTATTATTCACAAAATTTGTGGTTGTTATGCTTTGTAGTGTTGATTGTGTCCTCACTGTCACATTTATTGCGTAGTGCGAAGCTGTCGTTAATGTCGTTGATGTCGTTCTATGGAATTGTGTTTTGGCGTCTTCATTGGATTTTCCTACGAAATATTTTTAAGGTAAATGCAAGTGTGAGATATTTCTCCCCTCCCCCAGCTGGCTGCCTGCTACTTCTCCATAGCTTTTTTATTTTGCTTTTGCCCAGCTCAACAGCCACTTTGCAAGGTGTTGCCAACATCTTATCAAAAAGCACTTTATCCACTTTATCTTCCCTTCATATCTTATTTCTCCTCTACGCACTTGCCATTCATTCAGGCATTTGCTTGCGTTGGTGCTCTCAGAAAAAAAAAGTGCCACAAAAAATAAGAAATTGATTTTCTTTGATGTTTTGATGAGGAGTTTTTGTAAACTTTTGATGTTTGCCTGGCACTGCGATTTGCCACACTATATCCTCAAAAGAGCCTGCTTCGGCGTAGCACCTTGTTCGCTTTTCTTTTTCAATTTACATTTTAAACGAAATTTAATCCATTTTACGGTTTATGCATTTTTACGCCCAATATTCCGTTCGCACTTTGCTTACGTTTACTTTTGTCATTCACTGTTGTTGTTTGTGTTGCGATTAGTGGGATTTGGAGTTGCTGCTCGAGTATTTTTTAGCGAAATTTAAGTAAACAAACAAATTAACTTTGCGGAAGGGCATTTGTTACGTTGTTACATGTTGTAACGCAATTGTTTCATTCCTGTTAGATTCTTTTGAAAATCTTGAGGACTTGTAGACAATTCTTCTAGGAAATCCACATCAATGACTACGCTTACGATATATTATTTGAAGGGTTGTCAGGGCGTTAGTGACCTAAGGGTGGGTGAAAGGCTTTTATCATCCTTTGGTAATAATTGGAAGAACGAAAATAATTAATTGGATACAACTTTTCTGATTGCAATATTAAAATATGTTTTCTAAATCTAGTAAAATCTGGGCTGTGTTAATGGACATAAACTTTTTTGTTTTTAATTTTTTCCTTTAAAACTAGAGGCGTGCCAAATATTGGTAAAATATTCTGGTGGGGTCAACCAAATTCCTTATAAGTGCACTTTTTTTGCTCTAATTACAAAAATGATGACCTTGTGTAAAAAAACTACCCCATAATGGTATCAACATGTAATGGAATTGTGGGTGGCCGGAAAAAAACCAAAAACCTTTTTTCCAAATACTCTTGTATCTACTATCTGGGTGGGGTGGGAATTAATTGCTACTCTTCAAACTTACCAGACTCCTTTATGAATCTTGTCTCGTAAATTCTCAATATATCCGAGCAAAAATGTACCATCTCAGTTAGGCGAAGGCCGGACAGCATCAGAGAAATTGTTCTGTATTAACTAATCTCATCGTGACGATTATTTAGTCTGACTAAAACTATGTAAATTCAGAATGCCATAGTCGGTCGCAGAACCCATGTCTTACTAGAATCTCCGACATTGTCCGAAAACAGCGGTCGATTTACCTTCAGCTCGACGTGAATTTTCCATGTCAGCTTCGTATCTAGATTTACCCCTAACTATTTCACATCCACGGAAATACTTAGCTTTACGGCTCTGTGCATTAATTTTCTTTTCCGCATCAACAAGACTAGAGTTGTCTGGCCAGGATTGACAGCGAAGCCCTGCAGAATGCACCATTCATCAATATTATTCAGGATTCTCTGTGTATTAACACAAGCCTACCAGAGATATTTACCTGAAGGCAGTGCACAAACATCACCTGCGTAAGCTTAAATGTGAACGAGGTATTGCATGTCCACTACCGAACACCACGAGAGCATCCCGCCCTGAGCGCATATTCTTCCAACCTCTGTGATGGTACAAAGGCTAGCTTCATCCCTCACAGTCGGCAGTCTTGATCAAAATTACCTACCCACACATATGAAGTGGTTTTCTAACCGCAGCCGACATCTATTCGCTATTAGAAGGCTGCGTTAATCAGTTGCCACTTTTATTTGAGGAATAACTTCAAGATATGAAAAATATTTATTTCCCAACCATAATTCTCGATCTATAATAAAGACGAACTGAAATTGCGAAATCAAGCTTAGTTTTTTTTAGAAAGGACTACTAAAAGATACAATTTCGTTATTTACTTTACTCTGTTTTAACCATTAACCATTTATTTCCGTTTTTTTCTGTCTTTCAGTCAGTGATATTCCATCCAACGCAACTTTATTGGCAACGGACAAGGTGTATTCGAAAAAAAGTTGAATTTTAACTACATAGACTTTATAAAGTGCTTACAAATCGCTTGTTGCGAGCAAAAACTGATAAGCCCACTAGCGAAATGGAAAATCGAATAGTGAATTTGAAATCGATGTTTAAAACGCATTCCAACTAAAGGAGGCCATCAAATGCAAACACGTTCACTCAAAAGGGCAACAACAGACAAAAACCAACTGACAGACAATCGAGTGGTTTGTAGCCAAAGACAATTCAATTGAGAGCGAGATAGAGAGTTGGCGGAATGCGAGAAACGGTGAGTGGAGCTGATATGTGTATGACCAGGGATTACTAATTATCAGCACGTCAATTGCACAAAAGACCGCAAAATGTTTGCGCAGATCGAAAAAAAAAATCGACCAACGTGTAC